CCCCCTCGTGTGTTAGCTTAATGCACATGCGCCACTGCATGGGGAGCCCTCCGTTTATTTAGCTTTCATTAATTCTAACAAATTTTCGGGCCCCTTCGAGCTCGAATTATCGAGATTCGACTGTACCTTTAAGTTTATATGGGCAGCAAATGGAAATTCTGCTCCCAGCACTTTGTAATACACAGATTGGGCTTTATATTAACAAAAAATTATTGCTCTAGCTGTTCTAGATCACAAGATATCAACCCAAAAAAACTAGCAATGTCGCCAAAAAGCATGTTTTGAGAAAACTGAGTAAAACAAACAAAGCTCATTCATTTACATAACTGCACTTAAAATGCTCAGTATGCACCGGGCATGTAGTCCTTTTGTCTATGAGCCCCTGTGTACCGCTTTTTCAGGGACTGGTGCATGTTTTCAGTTGTTTGTCGCTTCTTGGCTGACGCTGCTGTGCGCCGTCGATCCTTTTCAGCCATGCGGCTTCGGCTCTGCCAGCTCTTTCATAATGTCTTCTGATGCCTTTTTATTGCCTGCGTTGAACTTACCACTGCTTCTGCCACAGATGCCTCTACCATGAATAGCGAAGCATGTCGCTCCTTTGGTGCCAGCACCCAGATCATTGAATGCAAGCATTCGTTGTTATTTTGGGTTTTCTTATGCTGACATTGTTGCAACAGCTTTCGACGATGTTTGGGAATGGGCTCCCCCTTGGCCTTTGCCTCATATTGTTTAAACCAGGAATTTGGGCCAGCTGGACACAGAGTGGTTTGCCACATCATCAATGGACGTGATGTGACAAGTGGCCACCACTGCTGTGTGCATAGCATCAACGTCACCACTGTGTGTCTTCAGAGCCCACCCGTAATGATTGGTGAGCTTGGAGATCAGGTCTCCTGTCAAGCAGCCCTTTCCCCTAAGACTCTCAAAGCCAGATCCTTTGTGTTTTGCTATCAAGTTGCGCAAGGCATATCCCGTACGCTTTTGGACATGATAAATGCAGTCCTGTTTTTCCACTGGGATATACCCATACACCTTATCATCTTGTCGCGCAAGGTAAATACAGCTGTCCCCGTCGCAAAGCACCGTGGTGTACCGCAGGTTGTGCCGCTCAAGTGACCTCCTGAAGAGAATGAGGGCAGCCTTAACCTCGATTCCCCCAGCCTTCTTGTCACTGTTCTTCTGACACCGGTGACGTTCTTTCCATGCTGCATAAGAAGGGTCGCTATCCTTTGGGCTTGATTCGGACCCAGCACAAAAGTTGCTCAAACAACTCAAACACAAAAGTTGTTCAAGTCAAGCACCAGCGTCCTGAGCAATTCTATGATGGTGCCGAGACCGATATGCGATGAATGACCGTAGGTCATCTATGACCCATCAACTGACACCGCAATGTTTCCCATGTGGCTTATATTAAGTTCGGCGTAAAGTTCTCGAACTGATCGCGTGCCGTCAAATTGCATGCAGCACCATCAGCCGCGAGTGCCAACTTCGTCTTCATGTAGTGTTGCCACGATTTCGTGTGAAAACCCCGACGGCTGATGCCCATCAACGAGAACACATCATTCAGCGCGGCCTGTCTCTTCCCGTTCCCTGCATGGCATGTACAGCCAAAACGTTCACAGCAAAAGGGTTCGTACCTTCATCGCTATGTACGCGCGGCGAGCTCCACAACGACGCAGTCTCCCCATAGGTCGAACACACAAAATGCAACTTCACGGCGAGTCCAAATTCCCGGTTATCGTGGACAATTTGCAGTTCTCCGTTGCATGCCTTGCACTTTGCAAATTTCAACAAAGCGCTGTTCACTGTGTCCAAATATATAATTGTGAATATGATTCCATCAGGCGGCTGAGCTGCTTCGTCGGCACAGTCACCCACGAATGCGCATTTCCGCTCTATCGCTGCAGCGGACAACTCCGATAACTTATCTTCGACTTTCGCTCGCTCCTCTTTCAAGTCAGATTGTTGCCGATAGATAGTACCTAGATGCATGCGACCGCTTCTCTAAGGCTCGGCGGCTTCCGTGGTAGGCCTTCCGTGGTAGCATCGACGACTTCACCATGGGACGCGGAAAGTGTAGCGTCTCGGGGGTTTCGCAGTATCACGGAGCACTTTTTGAAATTCGTGACTAGCCTCCGTCGCACCTTTTTTGCACCAAACTTGTGCCACACGCGGAATTTGCACTCAGGATTTGACATCGTGAAAAGCTTCTTCGCTGACACTGAGGCAAAATGGCACACCTGGACGCGCGCCTCAGTACGCGGAGCGGATGAAGCCAGGAGCCTCTACCAATAGGCAGGCAAGCTCAAGTCACGTGCACGAAGTAGCGAATAGGAAGGCGCTCTGATACTTCTTTTTGCCACTCATTTTCTAAGCTGCCAATGGTTGAATTGAGCCCATTCTGGCAGGAATTTGAAGGAGAAAGACGGCACTGTGCTGGCACACATAGAAGTGCAGGGGCACGTCACAAAAAATGTGCAATTTCAGCGTCAATTTTGGCTCAGATTTACCTAGAAAGCCTTGTATAAAAGACTTAGCGGCTAAAATAATGATATTATAGGCATGAAATTCACGATATAAGTGCACTAGTAGCTGTATATTTAAAAAACAAAAAAAGAGCTTTTTCGCGATTTTTCGGTCTCCAACAACCCGTGTCCCCCTTTAAAATCATCAATGTTCAGGTGAAGTGCGAAATTCACTGCTTTCGCCATAACGATAGGGCCGCTCAGTGGGATGTTTTGGCTTCTCGTTTCCTTGATCCACATGAGCACTGCGCGTTCTAATTCCGGGTGCTTCGCTGAGCGAAGCTTCTTGTGACTGCCAGTGAACGCATCAGTTGCGTAGGCCTCCTCAATCGCTCTCTTATTTTTTTATTTTTTTTTATTTTATTTTTTTATTTACAGGATTTCTGCTGGCTTCAAAGTGAAGCCATAAGCAGGAGTGGGTAACATATAAATATAGCACGCTGAACATTTTCACAATATATTACGCACAGAGAATGTCGCGGACACACAAGTTTTAACGCGGTAAAAAGAAAACTATACAGTGCATGGCATGCAATTGCGCATAGCATAATACCTATATAAGTGCGTACTAACATCACTTGTGTACTAACAACGCAATGTCACAAAACAGAGTACAAATATGGCAGGAAGACGTGATATAAGTTTTTTAGCTCCGATAAGAGATATGAGTCGAAAGAGTGCTTTTTGGGATTCCATGCTTCCTTGCGATTTCAAGCTTGCTTGTTTTACCACCGTCCACTTCAGAAAGAATTTCTACCTTCTCCTTGAGCGTCTTAGTGCTCTGTCCTCTTTCGTAAGAAGTCATAGTAAGTGCGGTATGCTAGGTCCAGCAGCCGAAGGCAACACCGTCACAAAACCCACGGCACTGAATGACTTTGTAGCCTTGGCGCGCATGACACCTAGCGACTGAATGTGTGGCACACAAAGGACACTGAGAGGCATTCAGCACGAACCACTACATGATGCGAAAAGCACACGCAGTTGGCGCAGTCTGCGGCAGTCACGCAATGATGCCACGTGGTTAAGTACCCAGGCGCTGGAATGGATTGAATTGCGCCTGCACTCACGCTCGCGGCATCTATTGTAGAGGCATAAAAGCTTGTGGCAGCAGTATAAAATACCACCACGCAGCGGCGCGCAGTTCCAATTATCGATAGAGGAGCCGATGCGCGCGTGAACTAAGAGTTAGTTAACCCATAGACGCCTATACATCATGACCGGACCACGACTATCAGTTCAAATTAACCCGAAAGTTTGAATCAACGAGGTGCGAATTAATGAGCTTTCACTGTAGCTGAAATAGCGGTCCAGAAACCCCGCAGTGCTACTTTTGTGCCAAAGACCTGCTTATTTTTAAATAAAATCATGTTTTAATGGCCCGCATCGCATTGGCGCACGTTAAATCACCCGCCTAAAAGTGTTCTTTTAGATGTAACTGTTGCTGTGCCCAACATTGGCTGCATTTACTGCACAGTCACTGACACCAGTTGCAGCAAATCGAAAGTAGGGGGAACCACAGAAGCAAGAACAGCCATTGAACAATTTTCTGCAACCTTGGAGGCATGGTTCTGCTAGCTGCTACTTGGATCAACTGGGCGCCGCTAAATGGCTCATCCTATCCAGTCTAACTAGCCGAAAGTGAACTAAGGACCGCTCGCTCCATCCCCTATAGTAACGCCCAAGCGGTTCTCTTTTCTAAAAATAAAAAAAAAAAAAGCGGACAGGCAGCATTTTATTACGTCTCTTGATGCATAGAGGATTCTTTTTTGTTGTAGCTACCTTGTTATTAGTGATTAACTGTAGTTGGACGCTGATGTCACTGGGATCATTTGACGAATGCCCACTCATGACGCACATTGTGCGATGGATTTAACTTAATATTTTGGCAAGTAAGGCACTGCTGTTGATAATATTGTCATAATTGTCACCAAAGCCGTTGTTAGCACCCTAATATGATTGATATGTGGGGTTTCACGTCCCAAAACCACTATATGATTATGAGAGACGCCGTAGTGGAGGGCTCCGGAAATTTCGACCACCTGGGGTCCTTTAACATGCACCCAAATCTGAGCACACGGGCCTACAACATTTCCGCCTCCATCGGAAATGCAGCCGCCGCAGCCGGGATTTGAGCCCGCGCCCTACGGGTCAGCAGCCGAGTACCTTAGCCACTAGACCACCGCGGCGGGGCTGTTAGCACCCTAATAGAAATGCACAGAAAAGAATGACTTGGTCGCTAAGTTTCAAGTTTTTAATGGCGAGTCCATGTAAAATGAACTACTCATATAATGAGCACATTTCACAGCCCCTTCCAGTTACATTTCCTCGCTTTTCTTTTTTACCTTTCTGTTCCCCTTACCCTTTCCGTATTGCAAGTAGCGAACTGGATTTTTTTTTTTAAATAGATTAACCTCCTGGCCTCTCACTTTGCCCTTCACGCTTTCTTTTTTGTGCCAGTGTGACAAAAGTACTCACGGTGAACGTCCGAGCCACATCCCAGCATCAGTTGTAACTGTTCCTGGTGGTCACGACAGTCCCAGCTGAGCACAGAGTTGCCACTGCAGCCACGCAGCAGGAGGCCCGCAGTGCTGCCCCCTTGAGGAAGCAGGGAGAGACGTCCCAGGATGGGTCCACAGCTGCCTCCGGCCTGCTGCTGCCGCACCAACGTGAGCGGTCGCGACGGCTGCTCGCAGTCGCCCAGACGCAGCTCCACTACCTGCGGCGTCTTCCGCAGAAGTCCCAGGCAGCGCCGCTGGCTGGAACTGCACGAAGCACACCCAAGAAGGCTATCAAAAAAAAATTCTAGGGTGGAAACTCTTACAACCATGAAGTATACCAAAATTAACTAGAGGGAACTCTGGTGTTGCCATCATTTAGCCACTATGCAAATGATGGGCAGTACACGGATTTGCCTAGTCTTTGTACTTTTGGTTTCAAACACACTTGCGGCGTTATTTAAGCTTGTGTTTTTACATTTGCTTTGAATAAAAGAATGGGCCATTGTGAACTTCACGAACCGATTTAAATTGGTAAGCGTAAAGGGTTAAGGAGTCAAAGTGGAACTGCTAAACATTAACTCATTTTCGTCTTGCGACAAAGCAGTTCCAGGGCACCTGAAGCCAAATGGAGACAAAGAACGAAGTTTAGACAAATTCATGCACTACCCATCATTTGCATGCTAACTAAAGTGTCGTGCATTGTAGCTCCCATAGGCACTAGCACCCGAGTTCCCTCTAGTGTTATTATGCGACCTCTATGCTCGCAACAACTTGCCCAACATTACTAGAACCTGATCAGTTTCGCAGCTTTGCACACGCGTCCGCACGAGCGGCGGACGCGTGAACTACTGGCGCTGCTGTTCCATCTTGCTTCACATAGCACGTCGCGCGTGTTGCCGCTCAGACACGACAACACGTTTTCGGCGCTCGGTTGCTTCTTCGCGCCATTATTTAGTGAACTGTTGTCTCTTATAAAAGAGTTCAAACATGTGACAAGAAAGGCCAATAAACAATGCCTTATTGTTCAGCCCCGGGCTGCAAAAGTGGCTACAGAAATGGCACCGATCATCATTTCTTTGAACCACCCCGAGATCCCAATAAGTTTAAAAAAGCTGCCAGCATATTTCCGCAAGGGGAAGTCGAGTAAATGCTTCGCAGAGTGAGAGGGGGGGGGTATCGCGAGAATGTTGCGTAATTGGGTATTGTTATTTCGTCTTTATTATTCTTATTCACTGAATGATGAAGTGCATCCTTCAACGAGTGTTGGGACACTGATGTTGGGTTGTGCCCCACTACTGGTTGAAGATACTGTTGCTTCCAACGCATCTACTCGAGTCAAGCAAAGCGTAGCCAGAAATTTTTTTCGAGGGGGGAAGGGGGGGGCACCTGTTTCATTTCGGGCAGGGCACCTCCTTGAAATGGTAATTTGTTGCTATATATCATGAAAAAAATTTCGGGGGAGGGGGGGGGGGGGGGCACGGGCCTGGTGTGCTACCTTCTATAGCCATGTCCTGCATGGACACAAACTGCACTTCGTGCAACAAACCAAAAACCGTCGAACATGCTGTGAGTGAGTGCTCAAATCCAATATTCTTTTGGGATGTGGTACAAAGGACCCTGAACAAATATCTGCCAATAACACCTCATGGAATACGTTATATTTCAATACCGAATGAGGGTGGTGTTCCATATAATATGATACTAATACTGGGCCTTTACAGTTGCTGGATAAAACGCATGGCCATGAGGCACATGGATCCTAAAGCGAAATCGGCTCGGGAAACTTCATTGAATGTGTAATATGAGCACAAGATATATCAAACGTTGAATTAACCTCTAGATTGTATGGAGGTGTTTGATGAATTGGTGAAAATTAAGCGTTTTTAAACCATCAAAATGGTGTGAGTAGACCAATGTGATTTTATACATATGTATTTCTTTATTTCTGAATAAAAAGGTTCTGAAAAGCAGACGCGTGGCTGTGTAGAAGAACACCCGCTTGCGCCGCAAACTCCCCGAGTTTGACCCCCACTCAGCCCAAAATTTTTAATTATTATTTCATTTGCATCTTTCAATTTTTTCGGTCATGCCCAAGATTATTATTTTTCGCTGACAACCAACGAAATCGACGCCGATGCTAGCATTTCTGCGAAACAAACTCTTTAACGCTGTCGCGTTAAAAATGGCCACAGATGCTGTGCCGCAAGGATAGGCGGCTGACTCACAAGTCCAAGATATGTGAGTGAAATTTTGAGGCGGACGATAATGTCAAATAACATAAGCACATTCTAAATGGAAATAAAATACTTCCACCTCGAGGAAAATAGGCGCTAGCACTAAGGACATCACCTCGCCTTTTTCCCGGTCTGCCAGAGCGCGTCTCGAAGGCACATGTAACGACAAAACCAAGGAGGTCACAAAAAAAAAAAAAAGTGCTAGGGATGAGTTCATGCCACAAAATAAAATATGGCTGTCATGGTCATGGAGTCAGTCAAGTGATTCTAACGACGACGCATCTCGGGGGCAGATGAGACGTCTTGTCAGCTACATTGTTTGTTCACGCTAAATGAAGCGATGAACTTCTCGTTGCCTTCCGCGTCGAAGAGCCAAGAATTAATCGATGATGCCATGTCAGGAATGATGTGCGGTGTTTTCTACTGCAGATATCTTGTACCAAAAGCTGCTACTACAAAAAGCTGTTATTGTTGAACGAGACTGCACCCACAACCCACAATGGGAGCATAACACTGTTCATAAACACTGCGAAGTTTTCACAAAGAGGCCCACTAGCTTTCTCTGCCTGTGCCTACGGAGGGAGGCCACTGCGAGCCAGAGAGCCTGCAAACATGGTGAAAACCAGTAAACAAAAAGTTCGTAACCTCTCAAAGAGGTTTGCCTGTGCGGCTGCCGCAAAAAGGAGGAAACGTGAGGAGATCCTGGCTTTTGAGCGAAACCTTTCCACAGCTTCGAATGAGGGAATGAAAAATACCCTTGCTGAGATTCCTCATTTGCTAAGGTTTTCATTTATGACATAGTTGAAGAAACGAGTGTTCGGCAATAACCCAGCGAAATTATTCGAGAAATATGGCTAATACTTTAGCCATCTTTCGTGCGAGAGTTGGCATAACTACGATTTTTTAATACCCTCACGAGAGAATTCTCTCGTGAGAAAGATGGCTAATAACTATGCATCTAGAAAAAAAATTGCCACCTCGAGCAAACTGTATTTCTAAAAAGTGCTTTCATTATAGCGCAGTGGCAATTTGGCTGGAAAATTTTACAGGCCGATGAAATACTGGAAAGAATGTGAAAGATGCCCAGCCGATTGAAAAGATGAACTACGCTTTTGATGAGTCACCAGAAAAGAGGGACGATCGCACACTAACAACTCGTCCTATGTACTTCTATTCTGGCGTCTCGTCTTTCGCGCAGTTTATTTTTTTAATGCGTTACGAACTAGCGCCCAACACAAGCTGTTTGGGCCAAGCCGATTCTGCCCGAGAACAGCGTTTCGGGGACTGTCGCTAAACAAATAAGTAAATAAATAAATAATAATTAGTTTCCCGAGTGGAAAGGCTCATGAATTTTAGTGGTGATTATGTTTTACTTACAAATTTTCGTTTTTGAAGTAATTGAGTTTCTCGCGTAAAAGTGTGAATGGCGAATCTCGGTTATCACGACAGGCGAGAGCTGCGACGACAACGCGGATCACTCGTGCTACAGCAGACGACACGCACGGCTTGAAGAAAAATGGCACAGCAGCGCCACTAATTCTCGCATCGGCCATCGCGGCCACTTCGTAGAGCGTGCGCCTACGGGGAGCTTCGAAACTGACCTGGTTCTAGTAACGCTGACCTTGCCAGCCAATGTGAAGCCAGCTTCTGCCCTCCAAATATCTGGAAAACGTGCTTTTTTTGGGGGGGTGGAGCACTCTTACAAATCAAGCCGTTATTATCTGTTAGTTCAAATACTATGTTAAACATAAAATAAAAGAATATTACTCCAAATGGAAATGACAAGAGATAAGTATTAGTGACTTGATCTGCAATAAAATATCTGAATAGGCCAAGGTTTAAAGGAAAATCTAGTAACACAGAGACACACTTGGAGAAGTATCATATCTCCCCAAAATTTTCCATATTATACTTGTTGGGCGTGCAAGGAAAATGCTCTTTTTCTTCGCTAAATGCCAGCAGTATATCCAACTCACACTCAAATGGCAGCCACAGCCATCATCTTTTGACGAGCATGGCTTTACTCCTGGACATAATGTCCACTCCTGCAATTTATTTTTTGAAAGCCTCCTTAAACACGCCTGCTCAACCAAGAAAGCTGTTTGGGAGCATTGGTTTTGCATGACACAAAGTGAAAGCGCATAAGACATGGACACAGAAGCGGCTTGACGCACACAAGCCACATCTTACAACAGTATTTCATTTGGAAAAAAGCAACCACATATTCAGCAAAAAGCCATGCATAACATATAAGCCGTCTGCACAAAATATATTACATGACTCAACTCATATCCCGATTGTTAATTGCTCTTTTTAGAAAAGAGATACATTTCTTGTGTTAATTATTCATGGGGCTTAATGTCCCAAAACCACGATATCATCATGAGACACAATAGCAGAGGGCCCTGGAAATTTTGAGCACCTGGGTTGCTTTAAAGGGCCAGTCAACAGGCTCCGACTTTTTTTTACACCCCCCCCAAACAAGCTTTGCAAGTCGTAAAGTAGACCGCAGCGATCACGTTTTCTGAATACTAAGGAGCTGCGCGCCGTGCGGAGCCTCAATTTCGAAAACGAATTCCCGCACTCCTTTTCTGCACCTGACCAATACTCCTTGCACGCGCAGTGACGAAAACTCAGCGATCGCAACGTAACGTCGCAGCATGTAGCTCGTTGATTGGTCTAAACAAGGTCTCAACAAACAGTAGTGAAATCAACGACAGTTCCTGTTCCCACCTACAGCTACGACAGAGCTACTCAAGCATATGAGTAGCGAAACTTCCCATAGGCTCCATGCATCAAAATCAGGACACTTCACTGACCCAGTTTCTGGCAGTAAGCAGATTGTCGAGCCACCTGTTGATTAGCACACCCACTATCAAGAGCCTTATTTGTGTTTTGCGTTGCTGCTCCCATTTGGCACGACAGTCTGCTACCAAAAAAAATAAACTCCAGAAAAATCGGGCCAACTTCATGCCTAGGTTTTGGAATGCAGTTTTGCTGCAAATTGTTGTCGGCTGCAAATCGAGTGATCGGCCAGCGGAGAAGCATGGGCACCGAGTAAACAGTAAGTAAACAGCTAGGTATCGCAGCAAGCGGAAGTGTGTTGCGTCTGATCAAGTTCACTGATGACGTCAATTGCTGACGTCTTGTTACATTGCTGAAGTGGGCAGAGTCACGACGACGGGCTACGCTTTCCCTCCCTCTGAAGGAGAAGTGTGGCGAGACCGAGCGAAAATTTGAAACCAGCTGAACGCAATGTTCTAGCCCCTGTAACTTCCTTAATACAGTCGAGCCCACATATAACTGCCCCACTTAAGACGAACTTTCACTTAAAACGAATAATATCCACGTGACCGTCAAAATATACATTGGTTCAATGGCACAAAATCGCACTTACAACGAACGTCTCCGAGCGCCGCTGATCGGTTACAGCGAACGGAGTCAGCGGTCTGCCGACTTCCCGGGAAACCAATTTCGACCACCGATCGCATTGGCGAGGTGCCCATACATTCTTATTGTTAAACGCCGATTCTGCCTTCGCGCCCCTCTAGTTGCTGCTCTCCACGACCACTTTTTGTTACGCACCCCTCCGTCCTTTGTCCCCCAGCTACTCTGAGCACCCCGCATCAACAGACGAGGCCAGTGTTTTCACACTGCCACCGATCTTTCGAAGACCGGTCGGCCACATACCCTGTTTTTGATCGCTGGTACTGTCGTTGGTGTCACCGGCCTGGAGTGACCAGACCATTTGCCAACATCGTCGGCCACCGACTGTATCCGATAGTCTGCGTCTAGTGCACGCGCGTACGCTATCCCACCGACCCTGATAATTTGCGATTCGTTTCGTGTTTAGGACAAGTTCTCCCTCACTTCGTACTCGGCTAAGCATGCCTTCCGCGCGCACGTGCGGAAGCGTGAAAACGGCTGTTAATTTGCGCGGAACGAATCGCGAAATATCAAAGTTCGTGAGGCCACGCAAACCCGCCAGCACAACAAAATGATTTCTTGATCACGGCCGCCGATTCTTCGAACACCGCCGCGCGCACCGAACGAGGCGGCCATGCTTTGACTTCTGCGTGCGCTGGCGCACGTGGCGAGAGCGATTTGGAGGAATCGGATTGCGAGAACGACGAAGCTTTGAAGCCAGTGCCTCATGCAGCTTATGCTACAGGCCTCGGCGAACGAGCAGCCTGCCGTTTTAAATGAACTCGAGACCGCCCTTATTGTTTCTGCTCTTCGAAACACATGCATTACGAACTTTTTGGGGCAAAAAAGGTTTCTGTTTTCACTCGCAACATTTTTTTTAAAAGCTGTGTTTTATTTACTACGAACTTCGGGATACAGCGAACGGATGCCGCGTCACGTTCAGGTTCGTTATAAGCGGGCTCGACTGTATAGCACATTCACAAAACTCGACTGTATAGCAAATTCGACTGTATAGCACATTGTTCGCAAAATTCTTGCAGCAGCATGTTCACGAAGTAAAAGTGCACATATTTCTCTTTACAACAATGTTCGACCTTGGGGTTGTTTTACTGGCCCTTTAACGAGCACCTGCATCAAATTACACTTGCGTCCAGCATTTTCGCTTCCATTGAAAATGCCGCTGCCAAGGGTGGCACTCAATTCGGACACCTGCGGGTCAGCTATCAAGCGCCATAACCACTAGACCACCGTGTTGTAATATGAATTTTGTGCAAGTGACGCACACGTGACTTATCACAGGCTTTTTGCTATATATATATGGTTACCTGTTTCCAAATAAAAGACTGTTGTCAAATCGGTGCTCATGTGTGTGAAGCTTCTTTTCTTTGTTTTTGTCTTGTGTGCTATCACGGTCCAAGACTGCTCAACCGAAGTGACCACGACACATGCGCAGTACCACCCACCATTGATGCACAGCTTGGACCTTGAAGCGTGCTTCGGCTGGCTCACTCATGGCATGCAGCGGCTCAAGACAGCGCAGCCGTGTGGCACCCATAAGTAGCAAGTCAGGCGCCCGCACCTCGAGAGGGGCACCAGCCTCTCCAAGGGGCTGCCAAAAACCCTGCGAGAACCAGTCAGGCCAGGTGCACATGCTACCCGGCGGCGTCGGAGGCGGCCACAGGCGCAGCGTGCGCGATCCTTCGGTCGCACCACTCAGGGCGTCGCACGTCGCGTCCCCTGATTGAGCGAGTTGCCAGCCGCCATCGAACTGCTCATATGCGAAGCAGCGCAGTCGATCAGCATCAGTCTTGGCCGCTGCGTGCACCAGTCGGCCAACCAGGTAGCGCACAGAGCCCTCCTTCCAAGAGGCCAGGCACGTCAGCTGCTCCTCTGCGTTATTATACAATACATACAATTGTAGTGATGAAGGAGCAAGGAATTCACCAGTGGGATGCTCAATTGGTGCAAAGTGTGAGTGCTGTTCGCAAGGTGTTGGTGTTGAGCCTGTTAGACTTTTTGCCAGATACCTGATGTCAAATAAACAACCTTGCAATGTGGTGGAGATGCTGGGTGCTAAAATTGAAGCCGGAAGCCAGAAACCAAATTAACACGAATTCGAGCTTTATCCCTAAGCCAGTCTATGTTGTAGTGTGTATTTTGTTGTAGTAAACGTATGTGGCGGCACTTTAACACTAGAGACCCACTAAGAGAGGGCGCCACTGAGTGTTTACAGAGATATATATACAAGGTATTAATGATCAGTACCGGGCACTTAGTCATCCGCCCAGCCGAACGTCACGTAGCCCTATCGTTATTCTCGACATGGTGTCAGAAGTGGGGTCTGCATCATAGTAAAAATACTCTTGGCCGAGAAGAACACCAAGGAAAGCGAGCTATCTGCGGGGACTGGTGGGAAAGCCAAGATTGCAAGGCCCAATTTGCAACTGCCAACCTATTTTGACTTTGAGAACCCAGTGGCTTGGCAAAGGTGGCATCAGCAGTTCGACGACTAGGTTTCTCAATAGGTCCTCAGGCGGTGAACGACGAAGTTCTGGTCAAAATGCTGTTCTACTGCATGGGAACCAGGTCAAGAGACATTTTATGTTGATTGCAAGAACGGGATTAAGACTATGCAAAGTACAAAGTCATCATTGGTAAGCTCGACGATTATTCACACACCCTGACAACTAGCTGTACGAGAGCACAAAGTTCCACCGACGTGTTCAACAGGTAGGCGAGACAGCTGACGGTTTCTTCAGCGCAGTGGGAAACATGGTGAAATGCAATTACTCCTCACGAGACATAGAGGAGCGACTGGTCTGCGACCGTTTTATCGTTGATCTTCCTGACACGAAATTATCGAATAGGCTGTTCCGCAATCCAAAGCTTACGATACATGAAGCACTAATTTGTGTCTGTCAAGTGGAAGACGCTGAATGATTTGCTCTTTTCTTCTCTGCATGTTCACCAGCAGCGATAATGCATCCCGAAGTGATGAACGTGGATGCAGTGAATTTCATGCAGAACCGCCCACAGCAGCAAGAGACGCGCAATGCAGCTGCCCTTATGACTGCACGTTTCTTCACTTTGTAGATTTTGTGGCCATTCCTTACATCTGCACTCAGAATGTCCTGCATGCTGAGCAACCTGCAACAAATATGGAAAGAAGGGCCACTTCGCAGTGGTTTGCCAGGCTAACAAGCACCTTTCATTGAGGAATTAGATGCTGTTGGTTCGAAGCGCGGATCAAGTTCGTTAATGTAAAAGTGAATGGAATGCCGTTATGCTTCAAAGTTGACAGCGGCACTGATGTCACAGTTGTCCACAGTACATTTTCTGGAATTCCATCATAGCTTGAGGTGCCAGAAGAAAAACTTTCAGGACTTGCAAGACAACCATTGGACGTGCTGGGAACGTTCATCGCCACTCTGCAGTGGAAAAGCAAGTCAGCAACGCAAAAGTTCACGTGCGTCAGTCACAGGTCGCACCACTTCTTGGGTTTCCTGCTGTCCAGGAGCTGGGGGTGGTCAAGTTCGTGGATCCGCTGGTCAAGACACAAGGCAACCAGGTGGCATCAAACAAGCTGTCCTGTGGTTTGGGCGAGCTACAAGAAGCTTACAATGTACGCCTAAAACCAGATTCTCTCTCCTATTCGCTGCTGGTCCCATACATGTGCCCATTCCTTAACATGGTGTCATGAAGGCGGAGCTCGACAGGCTTGAAGTGGAGGGCGTGATGAGACGCGTGTCAAAGCCTACACAGTGGTGCGCGGGTATGATCATTGTACCAAAGACATACTTGCCAAAGTTCAAGGATTCTGAATCCGGGAGATTTCTGCAACGTGGGGGGGGGGGGGAGGCGCTGAAATATTTTCTTTTTTTTTTTTCGGCACCAAAAAAATGCAAGGTCAAACAAACAAACAGAAACAACATCGCAATAAACAAGTGGGGTGGGGTGGGGGGTTCCAATCGCAAGCGCCAACATCCGCATTGCGGTCTCGGAGTGGCCGAACACACGAGGGTAGGGTTTCCCACTAAAGCGAGTCTCAAAGGATCAAACACAACTAACAAAATCTATTTCCGTCGAAACAACTCATGTATTTCTTCACACGTGAACGGATGGGATGGCGCAGCTGGCTGCCGCAAAAGTGCGGGTCAAAGCTTTGCTCACTACTAGATTCTTTTGACAGGAACGCCAAAACGCATCTGGCCCCTTTTTATTGGGATACAAATTATATGGACAGTCTACGCTGGTGTTTTGATGTTGCTGCCACTGCCGTAATTCACGTGTGTATATATATATATATATATATATATATATAGATACCGTATTTACTCGCATAATCGGCGCCCTCGCATAATAGGCGCACCCCGAACTTGGCCGTGATCAGAAACGATTCTACCCCCCAGCGGTACAGTTGGAACGCGTTCCCCGTACCCTGAAGAAAAAAAGGCAAATCAACGAGCAAATAAAAAAAATTCGAAGTGCAACGACCTAACCAACGTGTTTGTCGAAATAAAACTTGAAAAAAAAAAGCGTCCATGAGTGAAAAAAAACGGCTGTTCCATCAATTACCGATACCCCCAAATCGCCGCGCTTTTTGGAGGTCACGTGTACAACGCCGGGGGCTCGATCGCCATCACCACCATCAGAGAAAAAGAAAGTAACGCCATTTTGCAAGCGGTGTGCGTATGTTGTGGTCGTGTATTGAACTTTGGTTCCACCATGGGGAAGTACGCGATCTACACGGCTGGGTTTAAACTGAAGGCAGTGCAGTACGCGCTGGAGCACGGCAACCGGGCTGCAAGCAGGCATTTCGGCATTGGAGAAACCAGTATTCGGTACTGGAGGGACCAAGAAGAAAAACTTAAGGCGACGAAGAAGACACGACGGGCTTTCCGCGGTGCCAAGACCGGCAGGTATCCGAACGTCGAAGAGCAACTGGTCCGGCATATACGGGAGCTACGACAAGACGGCTGTGCTGTGTCGTTGGATATTGTGCAGACTGAGGCGCGCAGATTAGCCCGAGCGCAGGGCATTGAAGCAAGAGAGTTCAAAGCCAGCTCCGGATGGACAACTCGTTTCTTGCGGCGCCATGGCCTCGCACTGCGAAGGCGGACCACCTTGTGCCAGCACTTGCCCGCAGCATATGAGGACAAAGTGGTGGACTTCCACAGTTTTGTTATAAAGCTCCGACAGCAGAAAGACTTCATTTTGTCCCAGATCGGCAACGCTGATCAGACCCCCCTTTGCTTTGATATGCCGTGGAACACGACAGTGGAGGAGAAAGGTGCACGGAGCGTCATCGTCAGAACGTCTGGCGCTGATAAACAACGATGCACCGTAATGCTGGCGGTGACAGCGGATGGGCGTAAGCTATTGCCTTAAATTATTTTTAAACGTAAGACGCTCCCAAAGGCAAAATTCCCTCAAGGCATCTACGTCAGAGTCCAGGAAAAAGGCTGGATGAGCGCGGAACTCATGGTGGATTGGGTGAAAACAGTCTGGGGTCGGCGGCCGGGTGGTCTGTTGTTGCCGTCCATGCTTGTCCTGGACAGTTTTCGTGGGCACCTAGTAGACCGCGTACGAGATGAGCTAAAGGAGCTGCGCACAGATCTGGCAGTGATTCCGGGCGGCCTCACATCGATACTGCAGCCTTTGGACGTGTCCTTGAATAAACCTTTCAAGGACAATGTTCGAAGGCTGTACACCACCTGGATGGCTGGAGGACATCAGCTGACTCCAGGTGGTAAGATTAAGAGGCCGCCTGTGGAAATGCTGTACGCTTGGATCGTGGAAGCGTGGCAGGCGATCTCCGACGAAGTCGTCAGGAAAAGCTTCAAGACGGGTATCTCGAACGCACTGGATGCGAGTGAGGATGACATGTTGTGGGGTGCGAATGATTCGGACACCGAAAACGAATCCCCGCTCGGCGAGGATGAATGTGTGATTTCCGACTCGGACTCCGAATAAGGAAAAGGAGGAACAGCTACGACTTTTGTGTAAATAAATTTTAGGTGTGTGTGTGCAGTTGACGGCTCTCCCTTGTTCATTAAAAGGTACGTAGGTATGTTTGTTTCATGCTGAATTAATTGGTAAACGATAAAGTCGCCTTTTACTTGACAGGTGTGCAGATTTAAAGCGCGAGAACCGAGTTGAAATTATTTTCGAAAATTTTACCCCGCGTAATTGGCGCACCCCTAACTTCGAGCCGGATTTTCTGAAAAAAAATGTGCGCCTATTATGCGAGTAAATACGGTATATATATATATATATATATATATATCTATATGAACACTCAAGAAAAAAAAAAGCTGCCTCTGCGTGCCCCGCCGCGCTCATCTCTAATGCGTACTTTGCCCCGCGGATGGTGAGTGGGTTGGAAAGGGGGGCTTAGAATGATGCTTGTGCGCGCACGCTTATCCTTTGGCGGGGAAAATTGTGTTTGACTTTTGCTGGAAGGATTGCGTTAGTTGCCGGACCCACAAAGGCCACTTCGGTCTCTGCACAGGCCCCGTTGGCGAAAAGAGCGCGCTTTTCATACACAGCGAGATATAGCAACTGGGACACTTGTTAGTTTTTACACATCTGTACCTGTGATTACGTATCATGCATCGTGTTTGTTTAAGCAGTGCATTACGTGTTGTGCGGTAAACGTTGTTAGTGCGCTCTCATTCTGTGCGTATCGTTTTCGTGCGTCATTTGTACCTGACCGCGCTGCACGTTTCGATCTGCTTGCTGTTCTCAGCGTGAGATTCCAAGTTGTTGCTGTCGCATTCGTTGCTTCACCCTGGCGGCGATACTGACGTTTTCTTTACACATTTACTGCCTTCATTCTACCGGTGCGTGCCCTCGTAGCTCGTAGATCCTATTGCATCGCCGTGACGGCG